TTATAATAAAGTACAAAACCAACCAAACCAACCTTAGTAATGAACATTTGAGTGGACTTATTCTTTCATAGTGGTGGTGTTTAAGAAGCTGATTTTCAGGTGTTCAATAAAGTAGTTTCTGCATTACCAGTTTAAAACAATATTTCAAAATTATCTTTTCAAAAATTAATTTTCACAAAAGTAACTAAATGTTTTTTTTTTTATAATCAGCTTTCAAGCAAGTTTTTTCTTCTTTAAATCGTGTAAAAATGCCGATAAAATGAAGGCTGGTCTTTTCATAAAATAATATTAAGAAGATACTATTTGAATTTTATTTCACTAAGAAGTTTTAAAATAATGTTCTAATTTTCTTTAATTAAATTTTATTGAAAATAGCTCAAAATGTTTTCACACAAACAAGTTAACACTTTGCTCTGACACTTAAAAAAAAAGGTATAAAGAATGTGGCCAAGAGTAAGGAAACATTTACCTTCACCATATCTAATCATGAGACAAGCACGACACAAGATTCCATTAGAAGAATGGCACACAGAACATTCCGTTTTGCCTATCAATGAAATTTAAAATGTTAAGATAACATCTGATAGTAAATGAAATAAAATTGAGAAAATCTTATTTTAATTTCTTCACCAATGCAAGGTTGGTTGATATTCCCAGTACTACATCTCTTGCAATCTTCTTCACCACACAATTTTTTTTGTCTGCAACAAAAGTCAATGTACAATTTAGAGATGCATTAATAAAGCATGCAAATAAAATAAATATGAAGGTATATAAAAAAATATATTGGATAAAAGACATGTATAAAATTAAGTTTAATTTTAATGGAGGTAGCATTGAACATAACGAAATGGGATGAAAATTTTGTAAAGAAAAAATTAATAGCTTCATTGAGGATAATGAGGATTGGAATGACTGTACAATGTATTTAGCAGTAAGTAATTAAAAATATATAATTTAGGTTACATTTGCTTAAACTAGTTAAACATGAAACTATTAAACACTAACAATTGCACAAAATCAAATCCATGAAAAGTAATAGGGGCATTTACATGTATACCAAACAATTCTTATGTATCTACATATCTAATATCCACACTTTTATATTTACATGCATAACACTCAAATCTTCAAATATCACTTAAAAAAGACTGCTACTGCTTACTTCTAAAAAGTGAAATACAACCTTAATGAAGGTTTATTACACTAAAATGTTATAAATATAAACATGAAAGTTTAAATGTTAGATATATAAATATATAAGAAGTGTGTGGTATGTATGTAAATTTTCCAAAGCTAATATTCTCTTAACATAAACTCCAAGTTAATTTTTCTACTACTTAGTGACAAAATATGAGAGTAGATAAAATAAAAGCATGTTGGACTGTTAGTTGTAATAGAAAAGCATCTCTCATATTTAACATCTTATTCTTTATTCAAAGATATCACATCGTTTAGCATCGACCAATACTTTAGCCAAATGAAAAACATGAATACGTTTTTCAACATTATTTTATTGATAGAAAATCATAATCATTAAAGGAATTACTAACCAAGATGCCTAGAATGAATTTAAAATGTTTCTCATCTCCACTAGTTTAACGCAAATAGTAGTACCTATAATAAAAAATATATTGTTATTGACTGTAGAAACTTGCATTTGTATTAGACAAAAAACTAGCGAGGATTATGTACAAATAAGAAATGTTCTACATGATAAAAGAACAAACAAACGTTTTTCAAACTCCCTACCCTCTAGAATGTCTTGCTACTATTAGATTGCCAGGGCTCTAAAATTTGGCAAATAACACACTTGAAAGAATGCAAATCATGATGAAAATGAGGGTTCAAGCCCTCTACTTGTAGGAAGAGGTTTGAGCATCATGGAAATAGACATTCAAAGAGGCTTATTTATAAGCATTAACTAGCACAACGTGGGAATAGCTTAATACTCTATTTTTGGTGCTATTTTGCATTATTAACAAATTTCATGCAATATCATTGAAGAACTTCAAAAATGGACAAGAATAAACTGTCTCTGAAATTCTAAATAAATAAATCAAATCTCATTTGATAATAGCATAAATAATCTTGTGTTAGGGACAAGTTGAATGAAGTATATCATTAGATAAGTAAATCAAATATCATCATGGAGCATTAGATAAAGAATGAACTACACTTGAGCTCATAAACAATTTAATCAAATATTATGCAAGATGAAAGATCTGTGCAATATAGGATCAACAAAGGGCAAATTTGAGGGATGAGGATGTGATATTGAAAGCCACAATACGGTAGATTAAGTTCTAACTAACAGTTACAATTTGATCTAAGCTAAATTAACACTGAACAGAATAAAGTAGGATTGTCTTAGTTAATCATGCCAACTACGCCACTCTCAGGCGGGAGTGCTCTCAGATCTTGAGAAGCGTGTTCCAAAATGTGCAAATTTGAGAGTGAGGATGTGATATTGAAAGCCACAAGACACTAGATTGAGTTCTAACTAACAGTTAGAATTTGATCTAAGCTAAATTAACACTGAACAGAATAGAGTAGGATTTAGTTAATCATGCCAACTATGCCACTCTCAGGCGGGAGTGCTCTCAGATCTTGAGAAGCGTGTTCCAAAACTGTTGACTCTGGAGGCATAGAAAGTGAGGAGCATATTAGATCTTTTAGAAATATTGCAACTCAAAATTTTACTCCACCCTATTTTGGGTTCTATACGACCCTTAGAAGTTATCTCACATATTTCTCCAATTTAGTTTGAATTATCTTTAATTTGGCTAGATCTCATGACAGAAAAGTGGCTTATTCAATTTCGGTTTAGTTAATGGTAATAGAACATAACATTGCAGATACCAGCAAGCCTAGCTGCGTTTGAATGGAAAGTAAGTTTAGCAAATGTCATCAAGAGAATCTAACGTTTGGCTTGGAATCCATAAAAAATAATTTGGGTCTTAGCCACTTTATCTTATTTCCCTTCACTTAATTGTCAGCATCCATACAAGTCCTGCATGAAATCTCAGAAATGGAAGAATGAAAAACAACCAAACCAGGAAACCTGCAGAAATGGCAGCAAATCCCCAGCACAGAATCATAGACGCTTCCCCGCGCACCACCTCCACGGCTTCCCAACCCCATTTTCCTCCATGCCGGCGTTGCCAACTTTCTTCTTGGTGCTGCCACTGAAAAATCTGAGATCCACCACATTGTTAGTGCTCACTTTCTTGTTTAAAGTTACAAAGGCAGCTTTTAAAATCTGATTAGATGTAGTTCAAAGTTAATATAGTTTTTAAACTCTACAAAGACCTTCAAGATCTCACAGAAATGCTGGTGATGGGGAAGGGCTCAAGAGAAAGTAATGGAATACCAGCTTCCGATGGTAGATCTAAGTTTGCAGGCTTCCCTCTCAATCGATCAGAGCGCCGAAGGGAACCAGAACCCAAGCCCTTAACTTTCTCCTTGGCTGGACTTTTGGTGCTTGTTTTACTCGATTTTGGAGAAGAAACCGCGGAGCGAAGCTCATCGGCACAGCGATTTAGTTTAAGAGAGGCCATTCTAGCCTTCATATTTGCAAATCAATGGCGAAAGCGGAGGAGGATCGATTAGTTCTGCGCAGGCGAGAAAATCCATGGAATTAAGCTGAGGAACTAACCTTGTTCTCTGAAATTCGGGCCTTTCGAAGGCTTTCATACTCGCATTCTGCTCCGGGATATCCCATGGCGTCGTCGAGACGAGAAGAGAGGAATTGGAGCGTGTGCCCTAATACCAACTTTATTACTGCGAGGTAAGAAATGGAAAGGTTTCTCCAACGGCTATATTCCAAGCTCTTGGGGCCCATTCAAATTTTTAATTCGCGAAAATTTCTGGAGGGAATCTCATAATTGTTTTTTTGTTCTTACTTAGTTTAATATACATGTTTCGGATTAAGGCTGTCAAAATTGCACGTTGTTGCGGACAGCTCGTGTTCGGCTCTTTCGCTAAGTTAACTAACTAGACACAAACAACACAAATCAATATTTGTTTGTTCGTGTTCGGCTCGTTTTGACTCGAAATATTACTAATTATTTATATATATAAATAAATATAAATAAATAAATAAATATATATATATATATATATATAGTTTAGAAAAAATATGAAATCAAACCGACCCTATATTTCTCATAATTTAAAAGAAAGAACACTATACCTCAAACCATGTGTCTATCTTGAAAGAACATATTGTGGCTACGTGATTGGGGTTGTCAAAACGATTCTTTGTTCGTGAACGGCTCTTTTCTGGCCGCTAAGCAAACGAGCCGAACACGATCACACTTTTTGAGCCGAAATATAAATGAGTCGAACATATGTTTGGCCCGTTTACACCCGTATTTCCGATGTTCTTAGAAAATTATTTTATGTTTTTTATTTTTAATTTTTTTTGTGGGTCGTTAATTATGTCTATCATACAATCTATCTGAAATCATATTTATTGTCGGAAAATATAGAAATTTTCTCCTAGCAGAAAATTTATCATTTAATAATTTTGCGAATCATAGCTGTGCAATGCTTTTTTGAACTCGAACTATCTTGAAATTTTTGATAGATTGGGTGTAATAGGTTTTAGTTTCCTTATTACAAACTCAGGTTAGTCGTCATGATAAAGATATTCATTCAAGCAAGAAAAATAACGTATATTGCTACTAAAAATAGCAAACTTAACTTCGAACAAACTAGAACACAATATAATCGTGTCTTTTAATTTCTTATTGTTGGAGTCATTTTTGTCTTTTCTTAAGCCAATTTTCGGACCTTTATTAAGCCTACATGGGTATGGCAGGTCGCCCGAGCACAAAAACCCAAAAGGATTAAAAAATGATTAGGCGCTGGGCCGCACACATGATAAGACTCTGAAAGTAATCGTTGTTGTTTAAGCATCGTAACACTCATTCAACACAATTTAATGCAAACACTGATGACCCAGTGTTTTGGGCAATTAGGAGCCTCGACCTCGATAGAAGCACCGCGGTGCCATGCTTGAAAATGTTTTGGCACCCACCCAAATGAGTTAATATTTGATCTGGCATCACGACGCCCGATTATTTAAAAAAAGGGGCAAAGTGTTAATGATTTTGATACGTCAAATCCTTCATAACAAGACTCTGTGCATCCCTTTTTCTATTTTATTAATCAATTCTGAAAAATGTCATTACAACAATGTGCCTGTGCAACGAGGTTGGGGACCGGTCGTGCCCACTCCCCACCCCCCTCCTCCCTAAGGAGCAAATGGAGCGACGAGACCATTAATTCATATACTTATGCCACACATGAAATTGATAGTACATAGAGATGTGGGCGCGAATACTTGGCTTCGCCACACCACAACGTTTCACAGTGTTCCTTTGTTCCAACACGTTTGTACGTTGCAAGAGAATGCCACTCAGCTCAACCAAAAAATCGTCACTCTCCTGGAGTGGATGGACTCTACCATGACCTAGCTCGCCCACATCGAGATAGCAAGATATGCTAGCTTTGTGGCATATGGAAGCCTACAGGAGGTGGGGAAGGCGCTCCAAGGTTCTCCTTGTGACCATAGTCTAGTGAGAGGGCCAAGTTGGACAACGAACGACAACATTGCGGTTGGCAGATGACTATTCGAGACTTAAGGGTTGTGTGATGCCTCATTCCTTTTGTTGTTGTTGTCAATGTTTTGTGTTTCCCTCAGTCTGGAAGTGAGAATATGATGTATTCATCATCTCTAAATTGTTAGAAATATGTAACATCGTTTGGATTCTATTAGTACTATAGTTATCTTATTTCGCCGTATGTGTTGGTATTATTTTTCAATGGCATACATTGTTTTAATGTCTCTCTATTTAGGAGCCCCTGGCACCCTTTTAAGAGCCCCAATAATAGTGTGATTACTATTTTGTGATTCATGAGCTCCCAAGAGCGAAGTTGGTGTTGGTCATCATGACGGCGCCACAATCTCAGGTCCGACGTTGCTGCCCTTGGTTGCTATTTGACTTTCATAGCCCTAATTTGATGGGCATTATTATAAGAGCTAATGTGGTGTCTGTCGTGTCGGCAATGCTGCAACACCATATATAGCGTGGTTGCGCTCGATAATTTGGGTCCCAATTGCAGCTCTCGATTGAAAATCTGCAACGATGTTCGTTGAAGTGGCGTTGGCCGCATCAGCGGCACCCCAACACCATTCCTAGAGCCGTAGAACTAGAAGATAGGCTTTTAGCTTCACCCTCTGTTTTTTCAGTTGAAGTAGCATTTAACGTGTCAACAACGTCACGACGCAACACCGACTTCTTGTCGTATAAAAGGGGAACCCCGAGGGCTGTCATTATGAGGAATCATTGTGGGTCTAGGGCTTGTATCTTTGTTTGCTTGGCCCTCTTGGAGCTCCTTGAAGCTGTAGGATCACGGGGTTTCCTCGTACTTCAACGCCTTTCTTCTCTTCGGTTCAGACGTCGGCATTACCATTTGTGGTGGTTGTAGAAGCCGTAGAAGCAATCGCTCGAATGGTTGAAGCTTCGGACATCACTCAACCTTTGCGTAGGTGAAATTCTTTTTCCTGCCCTTCTTTCCTTTCTAAGAAGTGGCATCAGTTTTGTGTTGGAGCAACTAGGTTAGGCTGTTATTAAACGATACTTAAGTTAGACCCTTGTGTTTCCCTATCTTAGTTGCATTTTTCTATGCACTCCTTTGATCATAAGAACCTATGTTGCTTCGGTTCCGTAATGTCATTCTTGAGCGTTATGAACATGTTCCCTGTTTGGATGTGAACTGAGATTTCAATGTCGTTTCTTGTGCTTTAGTCGTCATTTCACCCTATTGGTATTCAAGGGTCATTGCTTCCATAATGATGTGAGGCTGCCTGGTTCTACTTTGAGTGGCATTCAGCTGCTGCCTTGCAACACAATAGCACCAAGTCTTCCCGCAACGCTGCTCTCAGCATCTGCAACATCCTTTTTGAGCATATTTTCTTAAAAATTGTGTAGGCATTATTGGTAAGAAAAATTATAATCATTAACTCTATTTTGTAAAATAAACAACTTATTTCAATATGTTAGAAGTTTTAGCTGTAATTTTTTTTTTTTTGACAAATATGATACCATAATAAGAAAATGAAAGTGAGCTTAATAAATAAGTCAAGCTCGAGCAAAATGAGCCGAGATCGAGTATTATTCTTTTTATTGGTGTGCAGTCAGAGTTCAATAATCTAGTCAAGCTCAGCCTTTTGAAATGAACTCGAGCTTAATTCCATTTCGCTCCAATCCGAGCTCAATATATGAGCTCAAGCCAAGTTCGAGCTCGAGTTATAACCAAATATATATTAGACAAACTTAATTCGGTCAAGTAAGAAATTTGGCTAGATTAGATTAGACTCGACTCGTTTCCACCCCCCCCATTGAGACATTTATTAATTTGTACTAAATGGTCTCAAGTAAGAGCAAATTCTTAATGCTTCTCGGATCTCTCTAACTCCATTTTTCTTAGGGGTTGCTTGGTTGCAAGTAGGTCGTAGTTTAAATAAGTTTTAGTTTAAATAGGATATATTAAATCTTATAAATTTGGATATATCAAATCCTGAAGTGGTTCAATCTTACAAATTATTTACCAAGTCAGTAAGTTAAATCTTGATAAATCCTGAAATATTATTTGGCGGCTTTAAAAGAATTATTAAACATAAAAAAAAAAAATTAAATAAATAAAAAACAAATGAGTGTCCAAAGCCTCAAACTGATTAAAAAAAAAGAGGCACTTAATTGATAATTAATTTTTTATAAAATAGTTACTTATTAAATAATAATTTAACATTAATCATTTAATTATTAATTATTTATAATTTTATTAAATAATTTAAAATTTAAAAAATATTTTTTTTATTTAATAATTATAATAAGTTTGACAATATAAAAAATTAATTATTAATTATTAATCAATTAAATTAATAAGTTTTATCTTAAATAAAAATAAATTAAGACCACATGCTCTTCCTCTCCTCTCAACCTGAAACCCTCGCTTACGAAAAATTATTCGATACAGACGGATTGCATGCAGTGTCTGATCTTGATCGTAAATCAGGAGATCTCGATTATGATATATTTTGGTGGGCACCACCTAAAATTAAAATAAAAAAATTAAAAAAAAAAACGGTAGACCGTATGCAATAATTTCTCCTCGCCTACATCCTCACCTTGTGCCAATTTCGCCCAATTCTCTTATCTCCGCCCTCCCGCTCCCGCTCCCGCTCCCGCTCCGAACCTTCGCCTTCGTGAACCAACCTTGCCGGTAAAGTCGCCATTAGAGCAAGCTTCGAAGGCAACAACGTGATCCCAGCTTACAGAGACCACCGAAACTCCCATCTCTCCCATCCTTCCGCTCCGCTTCTACCAGAAACCATTGAGGATGCTAAGCCTGATTCTGTTCGCCCGAATCAGCGTCATTTTAGGATCTAACAAATCTCAGGATTTAACGAGACACGGAGATGCATTTTGCCTTTTGGCAGTATTTCGCCTAAATCCTGCTTAAAAACGGCTACCAAACATGGGGATACATTCATGGAATCCTTTCTTCCCACTCGTGCATCTCAGCTCTCCTAACTTGCAAAAAAGAGTCGTCGGGCCTTCAAAAGCCAGCAATGCTTGGCGGCTTCGATCGAAGACTCCTCCAGCGCTTCCGAGCTTCTGTCGCCCGCTCACAATGGCGCTTCCACTTCTCTTCCCCCCACATTTTCTGCAATTCCGACGACGACGACTCACAGGATCCTCCATGGACCGCCTCCAACCACCTCTTCCATAAACATCCCCGTCTCCTCTTCCTCGAAAGATGCAAATCTGTCCGTTGCCTCAACCCTATCCTCGCCTACACCATCGTATCCGGACTATTTCACAACCCCTTCGTCGCCAGCCGCATCCTTCATTCCTCGACCGTCATATCTCCCCGAAACCTCTCTCTTCCCTTCGTCATCTTCTCCCAAATGTCCCGACCCAATCTGTTCTCCTGGAATGCCATGATCAAAACCCTAGCAGTGACCCCATCCTCGTCACTTTCGCTCTTTGCCGAAATGCGCCGGAAAGGTGTTTCTCCAGATCACTACACCCTTCCATGTCTTCTCTCGTCCTGCACTTCCATGGACGATCTCGATCGAGGTAGGTTGATCCACGCATCTTCTTTCGTGTTTGGGTTCGAATCGAACCTTTTTATGCAAACGCGGCTGCTGGCAATGTACATGGATTGTGGGGATTTAGTGAACGCCCAACGCATGTTCGACGAAATGCCGAACCGAGATGTCGTCATTTGGACTTCGATGATCTCTGGTCTGACACGGCAGGGATGTCATGAACAAGCTCTTGAAGTTTTTAGTAAGATGAGGACTGATGATGATTCCATCATCAGGCCTAACATTGCAACCATGATCTCAGCCATGTCCGCTTGCTCCGGCTTAGCATCTTTGAATCACACCAAAAACCTCCATTCTTGCTTCGTGAAAACCGGATTCGAAGATCATGTTTTTGCTGGCAATTCTTTGATAGCTGCTTATGTTAAGTGTGGCAGCATGACTTGCGCGCATCAAGTGTTTGATCTTATGACGGACCGAGACGTGCATTCCTGGACTGCGGTCATTACGGGCCTCGCCTTGAACGGGCATGGTCAAGATGCCATTTTTCTGTTCTCTCGGATGTTAAGAGATGGTTTAATACCAGATTCAACCACATTTGTTGCGGTTCTCTCTGCGTGCAGTCATGCCGGGTTGGTAAATGAAGGGATTGAGATATTTGAATCCATGGAATGGGAGTTCGGAATTAAGCCAGAGCTGGTGCATTATGGTTGTATCGCTGATCTTTTCGCTAGAACCGGGCATTTACATCGGGCGTACGAGTTCATCTCGAGCATGCCGATGGAACCCAATTTAAAGATTTTGGGATCATTGTTGAGTGCTTGTAGTGTTCATGGAGATTTAAAGTTGGGTGAGCTTCTTTCTAGGAGAATCGATGCTTCGATGAGTCAATGTAGAGGAGGAGCGAGCTCGATTCTGTCGAACTTGTATGCAATCAGTGGGCAATGGGAGGATGTCATGTTGATTAGGAGAGGGAGAAGAGGGGAAGGTGATAAGCCTGCTGGTCGTAGCTGGATTAAGTAAGAGGTTTTGTGCAAGAGTTTGTTCTAGCAAATAGGCCACACACATTAAGAAAATTGAGTGGGGATTAAACGGGTTGGTTGAAGTCTTGGAATGAGTTTTGTAAATAATTACAGAGAAAATGCATTGCATCATGTTTATGATTAATTTTTTGAAAGAATTTGCATATATGCTTGAGTTTATGATGTTGGTTTATTATATTTGTTTAGGGCTTCATGTTTTTGGATGAGGTAAGGATATGTGCATTGACAAAATATTTTAATGATTTGTAGTTCCCATTGAATCCATAACTTTCTAAAGAGAGTCAGCAAACAAGGTCAAATCCACCAATCCAATAAACAAGATTTTAAGCATTGGTCAAAACAATTTGTTGTTTTATAGGTGAAAACATAACAAGATAAATGCATTGATTTGGCTTTGTGGATTTGGTCAAAAAAATATAAAAAAAAATTAAAATTTATCCTATGGATGGAAGTGTTGGGTCAATATTATTCAAATACAATCAACATAATAAGGGCCTTTTTAGGATCAATTTGGTTTATTATTATTATTAATTTTTTATCTTTTTATTAAATATATTTATTTGATGCTTTTTACACGTGTTTTTGTTTGTTCATTCTTAAAATTATTCATACTAAATAGAAATTATTTTGAGTATTTTTACATTATTGTCAAAGCGCAATATGATGCGCAAGACTTTATTTTTACTTCAGAGAACAAAACGCAGAACGAAGTGACACTTTTATTAACCAGAGACAAAAATATTAATGCATGCATTCATTAACAATTATAAGATATAAAATATAATTTTAAAAATTAATATAAGATAACAAAAAAATGGTACAATACATAGCTTGAAGACAAATATTGAGGTAAATCTGTAAATTAAACTTTCAAATAATTTAAAATAATTTGTTACAATAATTAAAAACTTAAAAATAAAAAAAAAATGAACTGGGCATCATGTGTTTCGCTTTATTTTGCTCATAAAACTGTGTTTTTTAATAACATTGATGATTTCTAAAATCCATATCTAAAAAAATCAGATCTTTTCACAATTGGATTCACCAATCAATCTTCAGCTAACCAAAACCCAATGAAAAAAAAAAAAAAAAAAAAAACCCACCCCCAAAAATTTTCCTGCCGATCCATGTAATGCTAGAACATCTCATGACAAATTCTCTCAAAATCTCCTCTCTAATCTTTCCAAAAGGGTAGAAATCTACATTTCTACTCCTATTCTAAAAACCCTAAGCGTTCTCCACACTTTTCCTAACATTCCTCTCACACATCACCCCTTTTCTAACCTAAATTCATTCTTTTAAAGTGTAGGGACGAATTATGAAGAGTTTCCACAAGCACCCTTCCAAAAAGCGTCCAAATACATTGAATTTCAGCCCATAAATACATTGAATTTCAGCCCATAACCGTCCGAGGCGCCATTTGCGGGTTCGAGGGTGCCGTCGGCGAGCTTTTTTGTCATTTTTCGGTCTTCACAGGTAAATCTCGCTGTCAGCGTCATTTTGGCGTTGTCGGTGAGCATACCGTGCAGCTCCACTGTTTGGCTCTATTTGGCTCCGTTTTAGCTCTGTTTCGCCCCATTTCAGTTGCGTTGTGTTCCTAACATATAACCATACAATATAACATGAAAACAACCTTCCTTTAAAGTGTAATCTCATTCAAAAATATTCAAGAAGTATAAAAGATATTAAGCATTGAAAGACTTATCAAAATGTGATAGGGCAAAATTTCATTTCTTGTTCGTTTTTCTTCCAAATTGCACCGTTTTTGCATCTTTTTGCTCCAATGATCATAATTAATCATACCTGCAGCAAAACATCAAAAATACCCTTCTTTAAAGTGCAATATCATCAAAAATAGTGTAAAATATATATGAAAATCTCAACATATTTTTCTTTGGTCAAAATCCCCCAAACTTAATTATTATTTGTCCTCAAGTAATTTTAGTGACTAATAAAATAAAACTCGTAAAAAGGTGTTTAAAGATCTAAGATGATTGAAGACGCATTGGAGTAACGCGCAATATCATGTACCGACCGACAAATCTGACAGCTTACTATAAACTAAATAGATAAGATCAAGGTGGGGCCAACACTGTGGCTTAATTGGGTCTTCAAATAGTATGAAGTGGCTGCTTGATCGCTAAATTAGATTAAACAGACTAAAGTCCACTAGTCCAATTTAAGTCGACTCATAGTCTTAAAAAAATGTTTTGTAGGTGAGATTGAACGTAAAATTAGCCAATGACACTTTTCTGAGCTTGAATTGTTTTGGACAAAGCGACTGGGATATGTTTAGGTTAACTATGAATTTGTCAAGCGTCACGATAGTTGAGACAAACAATGAAAGGCTTAGGGTTCCCAATAGGGTTTAAGTTTGGCACTTCCAAATTTGATAACAAAAGATGAACCTCTAATATGTAGGTCTATTACCAAAACATATCACATATGTTAGTAACTTATTATGGCATTATCTTATTGTTATAATGAATTGAAATATTCTTCTATATGAGGTTGTGTATAGGCCATGGAAATCATGCATGGACTTGAACTACCTTCATTTTAAGGTAAGTTTTGATTCTTCTTTATTGGAGGGAGAACTTACAATATATAGTTGGCTTTCTTATGTATTTATATATGTAAAGCGCTAATATAGCAGGCATAGCAGATTTTTTGGGAAAAATCTATAACATCTATTTTTTTTTACATTTATATAAATCAAATCTTTGATATCATATCGAATATATCAATGTTTTGACTAATTTTATTATATATTTATTATGTAATTAACTTGAGCTAGAATGAGTCGAACACCAGCAAACAAAAGTTTGTTCGTGTTCGACTATTATATAAATTGAGCTAAAAAAATTTGTTCTTGTTCAGTTCATTTATTTAACGAGTGAATCGAACACGCGCTAGTTAGCGAGTTAAACACTGGTTGTTTGTGAACGATGAGCTTTTTTGATGGCCACATATAGCAATATGATGGAGGATAAATTATTATATCCCTAGTTCGAACTATTAACATGGAGTCTCATGCATTGTTATGCATACGATAAATTCAGCCTACTCAACCAAAGGGCTTATTAAGCTTGGATGACTTACTTTTTTTTTTCAAAGGCATTGATGAGAAAATTATTTTATCCTTCAATTTTCTTAAATATGATGCTTGAATTTATTTCTCTCAGTAGCTCCATGACCATAAAGTTCATTCAATTATGCGAAAGTAGATAAGTTGAGAAATGAAAGATGACAAGTTCATTTGATTCGTTCATATATTTATCATCATTACATCTCTTATCATTTTTTACTAGTTAAGTTTTTTTCATTTTGAGATTTGGCAGTTGCATAAGGATCAATCAATCAAGCCAATGTTTTAACATAATATTCTTATTACACTTTCCTTATTGATATGATATCATATTAAAACCTAGGTTTACCTTAATCTCAATAGTATTTTGCAAACCTTTTATAACAATTGGTGTTATTTTGAATGTTACGTAGCACAATTATACGATGTGTTGTCTCAATAATTTTTTTTTTAATATAACTTCCATCCATAACCATTAAGAAAATCACCTCTAGGATCATAAGTGCTATGTGCAATTGAATAGTATCACATTGTACTTCTCTACATAGTAATAATTATGGCAATGACAATTTTGCTTACTTACACGTTTAGATATTTAGCTAGCTTCTCAAAAAATAATTAAGCCTTTAGATTATAACTAATACAAGTCCTTATGTTAATATTTAAGCTCAATATTATCTATCCTTTGACTAGCCATCTATATCCATTTATATCATATTGCATTCCAAATATACTTGTTTTCTATTGCATATTCTATATCATCAACTTTTTTTCTTACTTATCTCTTAATAAACATATAATTTTATGTTAAAATTTAACCCAAAATAAATGTCATTGTCACATTTTTTTTCTGAATTGATACCCTTTCAATAGATGTAATTATTATCAATCAATATTATCTGAATCACTAAATAATTTCATTTCATTGCCTCTAAGAAATCAGGAAACTCTCCCTCAATTATAATGAATATTACATATATTACAATTTTCAGCTTCTTCATGATTCTGACCAAGCTCTCAATGAGTCAATAAATAAATCTATCTCATTGCTCACAAAATTGTGTCAAATGGTTCAAAAAATAATACTTGGCTTGTTTGCCCATCTTTCTCCTTTCCTGCATGCAATGATTTAAGTTATAGAAATACAATGCTCTAAAGAGAAAAAAAAAATTACACATAAGAAGACTATAGTAAAACAAGTGCGTCTATTAAAACAACAAAAACAATAACACCATACTCACACAACAATAAAATCATAAAGTCGCAGCAAAAAAACTCTCTTCAACAGTAAAATGACACAACAATAAAATCATAATAATACCATAATAGCTCCACAATAACACCAACATCCCTCATTAACAAAAATAACACAAGAATACTGCCAAGATAATACCGCGATAACATTATAAATCATTACCCCGGCCTAAATGCCAGCATAACATAAACAGTTACAACGACAACAACTTCGAATAAAATGAAAATCACTAAAGTAAAACTCCGATAAACCCAGAGAAACAAATTGTTAAACACAAGCAATGAGACAAATGCCAAAACTATACCTCCGATAAAAAACTAAAGTAATACTATTAAATCAACTAATTAAACCTCAGATAAATCCAGACAAATACCAGAAATTATCCATAAAATCAAAAAATAAAACTCGCACAAACCCTAGAACCCAAACCACAACAATGTCTTTAAGATAAAAAAAATATTCTCCACGAAGCTAAACTCACTTGGATCTGGAAGTCGTTGTCGTTGTCTTCGTCGAGAGAGTAATCCATTTCGGCAGCTCCAAACCCTAAAGTGGGAAAATAAAGTGGAGGGAAAACCCGGGAAAGGGCCTTTATGCTTTTCATTTTCCGAAAAAAGGAGGGTCGGGTCGGGCCGCGGGAGTTAAAAAATAATGTGCATTCAATTTTTCGGAAAAAGAGAACCAGACATAAAAAAATAAAATTTTTAAGACAAATAATAGTAGTGGGGCTGGATTCCTAGTGGCGGAAAGCCCCTGATACATTTCGGGAGTTCAATTGCTTCGTACTCAA